AGCCTCCAGCTGAATGGGGAGAGCTGGTGGCTCCCTCTTAAAAGAGGCTTTGCATAGCAAACACAGCATGTAAAGAAATCTAATCAGCACCTTGCACACACACACACACACACACACACACACACACACACACACACCCTACAGTATTTACAGGGATCTGTGCCTTGCACCCACTTGATTAGCTTACTGTAAGCTGTACAGGAGATTCCCTTCCATCAAAATTAATCACAAGCTCTTAGAGACAGTTTTCCATTCTTTGGGGGGGGGGGGGGAAGCAAGAGGACTTTCCAGGTAAATTAATCATCATCAGATGACAGAGACAATAGCAGGCCTAAAATTGAACTGCTTCAAAACTCAAAACTCTCCGGGGAGGTGTGAAGGAGGGGGGCATGGTGGGAGGAGGTGGCAGTAACTCTTTTTTTCATCTAAGAGTGAACTGCGGCTATTTTCTTAGTCTAACTAAATCTGCTGTTCAGGAAACAGATCTCTCCGGGAGCCCCAGCCCTAGCGTGAGCGTGAGCGCACAGGCAGAGTAGCCACTCTGGCTTCCCAGGCACTACCAAGCACCAGGCTAATAAGAAAGAAAGAAAGAAAAAAATCTGCCTTTCTGTAACACCCCTAACCCTCAGCCCCAGGAAACACACACACACACACACACACACACACACACACAGATAATTATTTCAAAATCACTTCAGCATTTCCTTCCACTCCCTCAAAAATAAACCTGACTTCTAAAGTTCCCATTTTATGATGCCAGGAGGCGAAAGGAGGGGAAGGAGGGGAGGACTGGAGGAAGGGGTGGGGGTGGGGTTCAGGGATGTCAGGAGGGAGAAAGCCATTTTCCCCTATGCTAGCAGTCTCCACACCTTTGAGGGTCCTAAGTCTTGGGCCAGCTACACTAAAACAGGCAAGTGAGAAGAGGTTCGAATCGTTAAATAAATATATGCATGCCCACATATACATATAATCAAATAGGAGTGAGAGACCGCGGGAATGCTGATGAGTGGAACACATCCATCATTTTCTTTGAATTCACACTCCAAATTTGCTAAGAGCCGTCAGAGATGAGGCACCAGCTGGGGCCCAGGATCATCATCCACCCGTGGGGGAAGGGGGTTCGCCTGCCGCCCCCCCCCCACCCGCCCAGCCACCGTTGCCTACCAAGCCTCGGGGAAGCGCCCGGGGCCCCTGCCCCATGACTGAGGGGGTCTGGCCCAAAGCGCTGCGCCCCTCCCTCGGATTCCTGAACTTCGCCTTCCTCTCCGAGCCCCCCCTTACCACGGGGCAGCGAGCGAGAGGCTGCGTGCCAGGGAGGAAAAGTTAGGGGTGCGCTTTACCTGGGAAGGTTCTGGAGGTCTCCTGCCAGCCCCGCTGGTAATTCTGCCCGGCGCTGTGGCCTCCCCGAGATCCAAACTTTTGTGAGGGGTCCGGGGCGGCGGCGGCGGCGGTGACGGCGGTGGCGGCGGCTGCCGGAGCCGAGCCCGGTCGCCCGCAGCGGCGGCGGCGGCGGCGGCAGCGTTGGGGCGCAGGGGAGCGGCGGAAGCCGGAGCCTCGGAGCGGCGCGCGTCTCCCCGCAGCCAGCCGGCGCCCGGGCGCCCCGCTCGCCTCGCTCGCTCTCGCCGAAGTCCCCTACGGAGCCGCGGCGGCATCGTCTCCCCCCGGCCTCCGCCACCTCCGACTGCAGGGCTGGGGCATGCCACTTTCCTCTCGGCTCGCTCGCTCGCTCGCTCCGGGGGGCGGGGAAGGCGGTGCCAAGCGCAGCCGGGACGCCTCGTGGTGAGGACGGACGGAGGAGCCCGGGATCGGCGGGAGAGCGAGGTGGGGCGCTCCTGGGAGAACCCCCCTCCCCGCGTCCCTACACACACCCCGGGAAGGGAGTGCGCACCCCCCCCCCCCCCGCCCTCGGCTGAACGGCGGCGGGCTGCGCCGGGAAGAGGAGGAGGCTGGGCGCGCGGGGCTCGCTCCAAGTGCGCCCACCCCGACCGGCGGTGAAGGCGGCTCAGCCCCAACTGCTGCTTCAATCCTCGGTGATCGGGCTAATGTAGGCGCCGAGGTCCCCCACCCCCACACCTCCTGACACCCCCCCCCCCCACACTCACACACACACACTCACACACACACACACACCCGGGGAGATGTTTACAGTAATGAATTCGCAGGATCGCCTCCGCGGCTCCCGCGCTCCTCCGCGCCCTCCCTCCGTCCCTCGCACTCTGGCGCGCGCTCCCCTCTTGGACGCCCTCTTTCTCTGCTTCCCTCTCCCGGTTCTCTCTCCCTCCTTCCCTCCCTCTCTCCCTCCCTCACGGAGTCCCTCCCACTTTTTTTTTTTTCTGGTTTAAAGAATGCTGGGGAGGAGCGGGTGAGACCCAAGGCTTTCCAAGAGGCAAAGTCAGACAGATTTTTTTTAACCCTGTCTTCCCTGGAGAGAGTTACAGGGTACTAAGCCCTGTGGATGCCACCTGGATCAGACCACTCACTCCTCTCCAGGCTGCCTAGGAGCGCCCCCGACCTTCCCCTCCTCCCCGTCTTTAAGAAATAATGCCACCCCCTGAATCCTGAAAGAGATTTCCCTCCTTGCTTGTTTGAAATACTTGCAGGAAGGGAGGATCTATTATTACTTAAACTCCAAGACTCCGAGAAAATGATGGAAATGTGAGATTAGAGGGTAGAAATATAGGAAGTCTCTCAACCAAAATGGCGTTATTTCAAATGCGGGCAATCTTGATGATGCCCCCCCACACACACACAACCCATCCCGAATTCCCTTATCCCTCGTCCCTTCTTAAATGCACTTTAATTGAGAAAATAATCCAAAGTTTAATATGAGCATGTTAAACACCTCCACGTTTTCCTATCCTGGATGCTACTGCTGAGAGCATCCGTTCAATAGATCGCTTGTCCCCAGAGATTGCAGTGGACAGCCAAAAATTTTGAGCCTCAAACCTTTGGGAAACAGGCTGGTCAGTTAAAGAAGGCCCATTTGTATACAGAGAAGGTTTCCACTCTAAAATCCCTTTACAAAGATTAAAGAGTAAAATAAAAGAGCTAGCACGGGTCTCTTTCTTGGAGCCTGGGTTCTGGTTTGTTCCTCCTGCCTCCAGTAAAGTTGCTACCTTGTTTGAGTAAGTCCAAGGAGAGGCTGAATCTGAACAGAAGAGGGAGAAAGAGCCTCAGGCAAGCGTTGCAGTGCGCGGAAATGCACGGCTGGTGGGGCCAGAACAAGATACAACCAGCAAGTTTAAAATCCGCCCCTGGGACCCACACTTCAGGGATTCACTCACGTCCTGGAGTTATGAGAGAGAGAGACACCAGGGCGGTGTCTGCAACTGTCTGGAGACGATTTCCTGACACACCCCAGGGTCCTGAGTTCAAAGCCTGAGTCATTTGGCACCACTTTCGTGTTTTTAATTCCTTTCCATTCCTGTTGTGTCTACCTTCTTCTGAGCGCCTAAGTCAAGACAACTGACTTAGAGAAGCGACTGGTCTGTCTCCCAAACCAGGCATGAATCCACCCAGACACGCGAGTTTACACAAACGCTCACACGGGCACACACACTCACTAGAGTTCACCAGCGCCTGCCTCCGTTCCTATTGCATTAGGCAAAGCTGACTAGGAAAACGCTTGTGTGTGTGTGTGTGTGTGTGCGTGTGCGCGTGTACATGTGTGTGTTCGTGTGCATGTGGGACCGTACATGATGCGCGCAGGGCAGGTCTATGGCCAGATAGATAGATACATGCTTATCTCCGGTATCAAAGGACAGGACGACTGACAAAGATCCAGCAAAGGATGGGGCGCTGATGGGGGGCGCTAATCACAGACCAATGGACTCTGAGTGCCAGCTTGCTGGGAGGTTCCAGGAACAAAACGCACTAGTGATGACAGCAGGGGTGGCTTCAGCCCACACCAGCAAATTGCCAAGGCCTGAGCCTTTTGCCTGCTCCAGGAGTTTTCCAGGCACAAACTGTGGGTGTGTCCTGCCCCAGCCAGCCTAGATCTTGCTGACTCCCTACCCTACATATAACTTCCCTACCTCGATCATCACCCTGATTATGAAAGAGCGATGACCACAGCAGCACTGAAAATGCCAGGGTCAGTCCTAGACTGGTCAGCTTGGCGGAGGGATCTTTCCTGGAACCCCCACACCGGTGGTCTTGGGGGGCAGCTGACTAGATCCTGCTCCAACCACAGGGCCTGGGTTTCCTGTCTCTGCCTTCAGCGCCAGGGGCTGGGGGGAGGGGGCGCTACAGGAGGGGTTCCTGTGTCACAGAGCCCAAAGTGCAAGGTCCCTGAACAAGATCGAGATTCAGCCTGAGCTCCAAGCCACTTCGCCACCGCCTCTAGCTCACCAGCCAAGCGCAACGGCCCCAGCTCAGTGACTGCTAGCCCTGGGAAGGACTGGCAGGGTTGGAGAGGGACTTGGTTTTGGATAACCCACATGCACAAACACAAGCAGCGATCAAGAGCGCGCGCGAGCGTGCACACACAAGCGTGTGTGTCCACACCTAGCCTCTAATATAGGGCCTGGAATATTGAGGGGAGGGGGGGGGCAGGATCCAGTTTGAGATATAACCGCTGGATAATAGCATTGGTGACATTAAATGCTCATGGGGACAGCCGGTTGTTTCTTGGGGAAGTTAAGATTCATTCATTTTTGGAAGGAAAAAAAAAAAATCAGCCAGGACTCCCGGTACAGCTTAGAGGCTCAGAAAGACTCCGTTTAAAAATCGATGTTTCTAACAGGCAAGGAAATGAGCGCTCTTACCCAGAGCTCAGTTTCAAAAACTCCTCGGAGGAAGCAGATGGGACTTTGAGGGTAATGTCCCTGCAAAGTCTGGGTGGACCTAGACAGCTCGTTTTCCTTCCCAGTATAAAGAACACGCACCCGAGTGACCACCCCCGAATACTCCTCTCCATCCACACACCTCATGGTGTCCGCTTAGCCACGGATAAGGGAGATGACTAGAAACTTCACCTGGCACCGCAGTCCCTCCTTTACCTGGCGGCCGAGTCTCCTCCGCGAGCGCTCATCCGAATCCGACTGGGTCGGGGAGGTGGAGAGGGAAGAAGCTGACGCGGTAGAAGCGGGGCTCCCGGGGCATGGTATTGTTTTAGGGGTCGCCGTCAAGGTCCCTCTTGCCCATCGTTGAGAACTGCAACCCAGGTCCTCGGGCTCGCTGGTGGACACCGAAGGCTGGCCCCGAGTTGTCTTGTCTAGCGGCTGCGGGACTTCCAGGGGATGGAGGACCAGAGAGGCACCGGGGGGTGCCTGGAAGCCCAGCAGGTTGGTGCAGAGATTGCGGCCCCGGGAGGGAGGTTAGGTCCGAGCCCCAGCTCTTCCGCCGTGACCGTGGAGGATGCCCAACTCCTAAGTGATGGCGACAGGTTTCGAACATACAACTAGAGAGACAAGGGACCCAGCCAGCAATGGTTGTGTGATTCTTTCCCCTCCTCTCTCCCTCCTACCGGGGAGGGAACTAACTTAACCCTGTGTGCTCCTGCAGCTCCCCAGAGAAGCTGGAATTCACTAGGAAACCGCACGCGCAGCTCCTGGGGCGCCGGAGCTTTGTTCACGTGCGTTTCCAGTGGGTGTGCTGCTGTCTGGAGGCCCCGAGCCAGAGGTGGGCTTCCAGTGCCAGACTCAGGGGAGGGAGGAAGGGGAGAACCAGCCTGAACGTTTCATCGGGACCAGACTCAGCCATAGAGCCTTTATTTTTTTTTTTTAATTTTTGCCTCCAGTTACCTGATTTATTGAAGTTGCAGCAAATTTATTATTATTACTATTATTATTATTATTATATTTTGCTACTCGATCTCTCTCTCCTTCGGATTACTTCTTCTCCTAGCTCCTGCTTTGAAGATTGGCAAACCTATGTCTGTGATTCTAGCTCCAGGATTTTTTTTAAAGCTGCATTAGAGAGGAAGGCACCTACCTATTCATGCCAATTTAAATGAAACCATCGGGAAGGGGGCCTCCGACCTGCCTATCTGGAGCGCACAAGTTAGCCAAATGACACGTTTTCAAATGGCAAAGATATCCTCTTACACCCAGAAGGTAGAAGTAACCAGAAGGAAGAAACCTGCAGATAAGGAAGAGGTGAATGGAGAATTGAAGAGGAAGGACGGAGAGGCGAGGGGAGAAAATCAGACATACAGACATAGAGACAAACAGAAAGACTAAAAATAGAGGCAGCACAAACAAAATACAGCAAAATAAAAATAGCAACAATAATAATAAATTCCAATATTTTAAGAGTAACTCGGCTTTAAAGGTCTGGATTCGGATCAGCAGTGTTTGCCCAGCTCCTTTGGAGCAGATGAAAATAGAGAACATACTTTTCCTTGCACAGAGAATTTACCTCATCTCAATTAGTAACTACCTTTCACTAGCCACCCTGTTCTCCCCAGAAGTTAACTGCAATGGGGAGCGAGTCATCACGGCAAACACGCAATGGAAACTTAGAGAAAAATGTCCACCCAGCGCTTTGGCTGCCACCGTCACACCCAAATGAGCCAGGACTTCCCTCAGCGCACAAACTTCCATAATACATAGTCATCATCGCGTCTTTCCTGTCTCCATTCTGGGTTAAAGAAAGAGGAAATCTTTGAAAAGTACTCAGAGGGTAGCACGTGGATCGGTTTTGTAACTGAGTTATTTTAAGAAGAGGAAAGTGTGCTTTTTCCCCCCATAGGATAGATACTCTAATTGCTCTTTGCAACATATCAGAGCCAATTGAATCATAATAAACACTTCAAATGCCTGTCTGAGCCCAGCCAGCGCCGAGAAGCAGCAAGCGGTGCTTTCAGCCCTCCCAGTGAAGAATTCTGGTGCAAATCCTTCTAGTTTGCCAAGGTGGCAGCAAAGCACAGGAATAGCTCTGAGGGCTTCCTGAAGGACAGGGAAACCTACATTTCAGAATAGTTCCTTTTAAATAGTTGCTTTTAAACATACCTTTCCTTCTGTAAAGGTACCTAAGTGTTGGTGTGAGATTCTTCTTTTCGTACTCTGATCTGAGAGGGAAGTATAAAGAAGTCATCTTTAACAATACAATTGTCTTTCGTGACAAAATGGAACTTTACAGGGACCTTACTTTCTGATCTATGCTGCTGAGAAGTGAAAGAGTCTAAAAACCGTGAGAGAGGATGACTGTGGATATACAGAATGTATATTTTTTTTTGAAATCATATAAAGACAATGTTGCGTGTTCTTCCTACTAAAGTCTATCCATTTCTTCCACACTCCTTTCCTTAACTTAGGAGCAATCAAGCCAAAGAAAGTAAAAAGGGGGAAATATAAATATGCATACATAAGGAAAATTGTTGTGATAAATTTCTTATCCATATGACCTCCCTGTCCATCAGATCTAGTAATGTGTGAGATTTGAGCCAGAGGAGCCTGAAGAACAGGATGTAGTAAACAGGCTCCAAATGACAATGATTTTGCAGACTCACAAAACTGTGACCATTAGGGTACTTTTTTCTAGTGAGAAACCGTCACTAATACACAAGAGTAGAGCAGAATGCGGAAAAGAAATCAAATAGTAAATCTGGGAGATTCTAAAGTCAGAAGTTTTCCTCTTTAGTTATTCGTGATCTTTTAGGCCTTCATAGGGTTCTCAATGCAACTGAAATTTGATTGTTTTCTCAAATTCTTTACATTTACCCTGGAATTTCTTACACCATTTTTCACACACACACACACACACACACACACACACACACACACACACACACACACTCCTGATTTGTCTTTCTATTGTCTAGCTTACAAGACCACATAAATTCTAGGCACAGATGACTTTGATCTTCAAGAAGTTCAGTTCTGTTGTGCTACTGTTGCTGTTGCTGTTGTTGTTGTTTTACATTTGGAAAGTGAATATTAATTATTCTTAAGCTATCATCCTAAAATTGTCCCATTATAAGTTGCCATAGGTAAAACATGCTTTAAAATGTATTGTTGGTGGTATTATAATTACATCACATAGTTTTAGCCTTCAGTGCAAACAAAATCACATATCAATCTCAACATTGCCAGCTTTAGCAGATATTATCATCCTACATTATCTCTAAATATCAAAATCGTGAAACCAGCACTATTCCGTATTATTAACTGAGCTCCAGACTACATTGTTGTGTGGCCCTGGAGCTTGAACTCTGGGCCTGGGCACTGTCCCTGAGCTCCTTTTGCTCAAGGCTAGCGCTCTATCACTTGAGCCATAGTGCCACTTCAGGGAGATAAGAGTCTCACAGACTTTCCTTCTTTGGCTGGCTTCAAACTGTGATTCTCAGACCTCAGCCTTCTTAGTAGCTAAGATTACAAGTGTGAGCCACCAATGCCCATCTCGCTGTAGCTTTATTTCATCTTATTCTCACTGATAATCATGTCCCACTGTGAATACTTTATGGCATTGAAGTATCAAATCTTTCTGTTCTCTTTATTCTTCCTTGTGTTTTTGATCCTGAGTTTTGTAAAGCAATGATCAGAGAGTTTGTTGAATGTCACTTTATCTGTGACCATCTGATATTTTCTCTTGATCACTCATTATGGATTTTGTGACAAAATATCATTGGTGGAATGCCTTACTAATTACATAGTCAGGTGTCACTTACAGTGTTAATACTCTAAGACACTGTTCTGTTTTCTCTGATATAAAGCTATCTGCTTGCCTTTTCCATGTTTACTTTCTTTGGAAAGGAAATCACTAAGTCTAGCCCTCAACCATGAATCTAGAGTCCTCAGATGAACAAAATAAGCAGTGAATGTAACCCAAGAACACTCCAATAAATAAAATTCTCTCAGGAACAGTCACCTAGGAAATTCTTCCCATGTAGAATTTAGGAAAGGCACCCAAATATTTTCTCAAGGCAAGTGCTCAATGATCTCTGTCTGCTTATGTTGAAGCCATTTTCAGCTAAGCTATGTTTTATAGTTCTGAGAGCCAGTTTATTACCTAAGCCTTGGTTATGCTTTTAGAAATGTTTCCTTTTTTTGTATTCTAATTCCATTGAATATATTTCTTGTTGGTTGAAATTTTTCACTCTTTGATGGAAAAGTGACATCCATCAGACTAACTCCTGTCAATTTCATTCTTCTCTAAAGTGATTTTAGCTCTAAACACTTGATTATAATCTATTGTAGAACTACGTTCGGTCTCAGTCACTATCCTAGATCACTAGAATTAAGTGGGCTTTACTTCTCTGATGTTTACCCTAATATCTAATACAGCACTTTTTAACTGGTATATGCTCAAAAACTGCTTGGACTTTCATAAATAAAATTTCTAATAGGTAGAGAGAAATATCTCCTTTCTTCTGTGGTGAGGACCACTGAAAGGAAATCCAGGGCTAGTGTACAGTGGAAAGATAGCTTTTCTTCTCTCATGAGTAGAAAATATACCTAATCTATGAAATCCTTTTTGTGTGTGTGAATGGGACCTGTTTTGGGCAGTTCTGTGACTTCGTATTTTGAAATGTCATGCTCTAGTGTACAATTAATGTATTCACACCAAACATTTGAAAACAAAACCAAAAACCCATGTAGCAGGCCTTTGACACACACTGCCAGTCCCTATATGATCAAACTCTGTCTAATGGGTGAATAATTGCATGCTCACTACAAAAATATAGCAATTTGGATATGTGCAAAGTCCATTAGTACCCTGAAATAGGTTCTTTCTAAAAGATAAAGCCCCACTCAAATGATGCTGAAGTTCTGTGACTATACTGATTTTTACAGGGGACTTTATGGAATTAATTTTATATCCAGTCTTTTGCATGCAGCATTGCCAGCTACTGAAGTATCCTATCTCAGCGAAAGCCCTTTAGTCCAGGAATTAGAAAACCAGTGTATCTGAAAATGCTTGAATATTCATTTTTTCATGCCTTGGGTCCTTTGCTTTTCTATGCAGGTTACAAGATGATTATAGATGAACAAAAACAGAAGGTATAAAGTGACAGGAAACAAAAGCACATTAAACCATGGAGATTTCCTCTTACATAAACCTGCCATTTGGTAAGTAGTTGCTCTGTGTTCCAAAGGGAAGCTGGCAAAAACTTGGTACAAACATTTTCCAACTGCACCAGGAGGAATAATTGAGGAAAGAAATGCCTTTTGGAAGGAGGTATAAAAAGAGATGAAGGAACTATCCAGTGACTTATTTGATTCTAG